ACGCACACACACACACACACACACACACACACACACACACACACACACACACACACACGCACACACAATGAGTGTAATAATCTCTCCCTGCACATGATCTTTGTCTGTGGAGTTCTGCTCTCGTTCTCTGCCGTTCATTCGTCGACCTCTTCTTCTGTCTACATTAGGCGTTCACACAGCAGACAGTCACACTCGTTTCAGGCTTAGTTTAATCCTCGATCGCTTTCTTAAGAACTTAATTACCTCCGGCGCTCTTCCTGTAGATCTGTGCTAATGCGACCGGCTTACACTGACAGTTTAACAGCCCCGCACTTCCCATGAGCCTCGGCTGCTGATTTGGAGCGGGCCGGTTCATTCTCCAACTTCTCTAATGCAAAGCCGGACATTCAGATGAAAGTTGGCACTGGGTGTTATTAAGTGGTGCGAACTCTTGCGTTTGGGTGTCTGAGGCGCAGGACATTATTTTCCAGCGACACATCTGTAGGATATCAGACCGAATCAGACAATCTAAGATTTGGTCAAAACATGGTTGAAACATGAGGAGCCAAATTCCACAGAGGCCCAAGACAACAGGATGTTCATAAATCAGACCCTAGCACTAGCCAGTCTGAAGCAAGCCTAACCAACTCTTTCACAGAACAGCTTTCAACATTAACACAAAAGGAACACACTGATCATAACAACTCAGGAAGGAGATTGTCAATTTTAGGGCAAGTAATCAAGTGTCTGAGGCGTAAATTGACCTGTTTCCCTTACACATCTTTCATCTTTAGCGCTTCTCTCCATCTAGAGGCCGCGTGTCTGCTGTCGTATATTTGCTCTGCTTCTGATCGTCCTCCTCTCCTCTCCTCTCCTCTGCCCAACACTGATCGCCCCCCGTGAGTTATAGTCACTTTTCGATAATCAATCCTCAGGGATACGAGTCCAGCGTGCCCCATAAAGCACTAACTCTCAGTGAAGTTCTGCAGCTCTGATAGTCTTTCATATCTGTTTTGCATGCCTTTATGTGTTTATCGGTGGATACACGCTGTCATTTGTCATTTCATTCCAGCTAGTCTTCTGGCTCGTTTCACTTTTATACATTTGATGATTTTTCTCTCTCTGCATGGAAACTAATGGTAAACAGTGGGTAATACAATGCAACAGTCTGGTTTCAGAGGTACAAATCCATTCATTTTCTCCATAACAATAGCATATAAAGCTGTCAACGCAGACCTACTCTGAGCTCAGAATCTGTTAAATGATGAAATGTGCTTCTAGTCTGTGAGATTTTTAACATTTTGCATTCAGCACTGCCTAAAATCTATCAGCCAGAATCAATAGTACCACAGAAATCACTGTCACAATTCTTAACATCAACCACTGCAAACGAGTCTCTCTAAACTATCAAACTACTTACATATTTGAATTTGATGCACAATATTCACACTTAGACTGCTGTCATCCCTATTGCTTTTATAACCACAGTTATCACATAATAAAAAGTACTCTTGTGAAAAAGAAGTGTAGGTAATAAGTAGGTGTAAGTGTTATGTTACACATGTTGCATGGTCTTACTATATTAACAACAGTAAATTATGTATTATTACATGCAACTAACTCTAAACCAAACCTTAATCCTAACCATAAAGTACGAACAGTACATGTTAAAGATAAAATAGTGCTCAGTACTTAATGGTGTAATTACACTGTAATAAAGTGTAATGTTGCATTGAATGTGCACTTGCAGTGTACTTTAAATCTTAAAAGTATATATTTTTAAAAACTGCACTTGCAGATAACTTGAATTAAATAAAAGGCCAGGTAGGTGACTTAAAAGAGAGACACTTTCATGACTACGTTTTTTACCACACTAAAGTCCACTTTTAAAAAGTTTTTTAAATTTTAAAAATTACACTTTTAAGTGGGTCAAAATAAGCACTCTGAAGTTCAGCTAACTGCATTTCATACAAATTTTAACTGTATAATTAATTTTCAGTAAGTGTCCAAAAAACAGTAAATTCAGTTCATACGTAAGCATATTATTTTATGTCCATAATAAACACTCTTTTTAAAAGGGCATTTCTTTTTCACCAGGGCAGACACACAAATCTGCATCAAATCTTCTGAATCAGGATGATGCCGTGTCTTTTGTCCTGCAGTATATCTAGTGCTGTGATGGAAACTAAGGTTAATATCTGCTCTCTATAGTGCTGTGCAGTGACATATAGACTAACACTGGTGTATTTTAGTATGACTGAACTCTGCATTGATTTTTCCCTAGAACTGTTGTGTTTTTGCTGATGTTTAAATACACATTTTGCTTTGAATGCTGCAATGTTACTCATCTCAGAGCTGGTTTTGTCTGTTTGTTTGAAAATGCCTATAGAGAAGATGGGAAGCTCACTAGAGGCCACAGCACTGCTGAAATACGCTCTATTCACTGGTTGTAGTCTTGCTAACCCTTAACCCTACATCTGCACACGCCGCTCTCAAACATTATCAGCCAGTCAAACGTCTGCGCCGTGCTCGCTCACTTTCTTAAAGCTTCAGCGGCTCTCAGTCTCAGATCTTCTCTTGTTAATCTGCTCATGTCTCATCACTGTCGGAGATTCACCCATTTCTCTATTTCACGTCTTCAGTCCTGCTGGGATATTTATAATTCCTTTAACCACTCAAAGCTTTAAGCCCTTCAAACTTGAAATGGATTTCTTTAAAATCTTCATGTGTAAGTGCTGGAAAAACTTTCATGTCCTTATATTGTGTGTTATTCAGTAGAGTGCTTGACAGGTTGAACGTTTGCATCAATTGTCTTTCCACATACAGATGGAGAGATTTTAGTTTTTTAGTAAGTATTTAGATTTGACTAAGTATGCCTGTGTTCTTATGGCAAATGGACGTCAGGTGAGCACAACTTTCATACTATTGAACCTTTACTGTTACTGCATTAGGCCCCGATCAGACAGAACACGTTTTTTGCATGGAGAGGCACCTTTTAGAATTGTTTTCTATTGGCAGTGAGTGTTTTGCGCGATGTTTATGCGCCCGGGTGCCTCGTGTTTTTGTAGGAGCGCTCTGAGCACCTGAAGTTGAAAAAAAATCAGCTCTGAGCAGAAAAGTGCCCGACATCATTCACGTTTTTTTTTTTTCACTGTCCAATCGAATGAATGGAGAGGCGGGCCTTATGTTGTGATGAAGGAAGTTTATAGTTGCTGGGAACGTCTGGAGACTGCAGTGACGGAGGAGAAACTTGTGGTGGCTGTCAGGGGTTCCCATAGCTGTATTTTATTATTTTTTTTAAGTTTCTGCTAATATGACAGTTTACTTAACAGCAATCCAAAGATTTGAGAGCACTCGTGATATAATCCTTGATTAGACTGACAGGACAGCTGATTCGGTGGTTGCCTAGCAACATTAAAAAAAAAACCCGCATCGCACTGCTCTTTTCTAAATTAAAAAAAGTCAACCAAAAAAAGGCAGTGTGCTGCGCCTCGCGTTTTCAAACCTGAAACACGCATTCTGTCTGATCGGGCATGCATGTGTGTTCTGCCAGATGATGTGCTGCAGCTGGTGTATATTTAGTTTTCCTGTGATTTCTCTAACACACATCTGAAGTTTACGGATCAGAGATGCTCCTCACCTCCCTGCTCACAGAGCTGCTGCGCCAGAGCGTCCTTGAAGATGATCTGTCCTCGGTGCGTCGCTGTGGCCCTGAGGGACAACAGACCGAGAGAAAGAGAGAAATATTACAGAGCGTCAGCCAGCAGAAGGAGGAGAGCAATAACAAGCCCATTACCTAAAAGAAGATGAAGTGTTTCTGCTGGATTATAGTTCTGGAGGGAGACTGAAATCTGGCTGTAGGTCTTCATGTCAGAGACAGCGATCAGAGGTCAAGAGGTCAGGAGGAGGCTTTATGAGCTGCTAGGAGCATCTTTATAGACAGCAGTCTCATTGCATTGCCATAAACAGGGGTACGGGGTCAATTTATACTTACGCCTCAAGACTGACAAAAATATGTTCTAAGAACGTTTTGCTAACATTCACATTAAGTTATGAAAGCTTTATTTCTGAAATTGGTCGAGTTAGAGACCCTTCATCAGGATGACAAAACATATCTGCTGTAGATTCACATACACTGAGACTGAAGTCCGATTGCTGGAAGCTTCTAATGAAAGAATCTTTTTGTCAAATATTTCAATTCACTATATTAAAAAAACACACACACACACACACACAAACACTCCTTGCTCAACATCTCACCTCATCTCTGATACAGACCTGCAGCAGCTCCTACAGTTCACTCTTCTGTGTTCTGTAACTCTGGCTGTGACCTGCGTCTCTGCTCTACAGCGTTCACTGATGGAGGTTTTGTGCTGCTTTCCTTCCCTCTACAGACATGAATAGCTGTTTGCTTTAGAGCTGCACAGGTCGTCCTGTAGCTCCATTAACCGCATGTAAGACTGCTGGAGAACTGCTGTCTGCCACAGACCCTGGTTTTAGACTTCTACATTTCATCATTTCACTGATGCCTTCGTCCATTTATTGATGAATATACTTTTATTGTCTATTATTGTGACACAGAGTCTTACTGAGGGCAAGAGGATCATGCGGCTTTATTTAACAGAAAAAAAAGTTCTAAATACTAAAATCCAAGAACAAACCCTGATAAAAACCAAGGCAAACGTGAGGGCTAAAATACAGGAGGACTAATGGGACAAAGCCGGAGACAAATCGAGAAAGGCTGTGTCTGAAATCTATGACAGCTGCCTTCAGGGTCTGGTTTATGAAGATCCTCCTCATGCTTTCAGACTCTATCGCATCCTTATGTCTAATGATCGAGAGCAAATTCATACACGCTTTAGCTTACTGACTGCAATGCTGGTGATTCCACTTCTAGCATGAAATGTTGAAATACATAATTGCATATTAGGTAGATTTAAGTAGATTAAATTCTTAAATATGTTCAATAAATGCAATTAGTATAATAACACTCTATGGGGCTGATACCAGTGAAATTGATATCAACAAAATCCATCTCTGCCCTGCAAAAGTTATTATCTGCCTGAATAATTTAAATTTATATAGAATAGAAACATTTATGTAAAATTAATTTGATTTAGGTGTGGCAGAAGGATGAAGCTAGATACAAGCTAGATCCGCCACTGCCACCAAACATATTAATATACATTCATAAACTAACTCATAGCAGGTTAATGCATTCTTAACAGTGTCCTGAGTTTAGAACTAACCCAAGCCAAACACTAGCTAATCAGCGCGTGCAGAATCACTTAAACTCTAAATAGGAGTATGAAGTGCTTATAAATATTACACTGTTTTAATTTACTATGAAATATTGCTTGTTTAAGAAAGCACATTTTGGCATGAGGTCAGCAGAAGGAGTTTTGCTGGATCCAGTCTCTGACACCGAAGGCTGTGAGGCATTTATGTTTCTGCTCTCATGAATAACCAAACAACATCTCATGAATAAATAACAAACTGCAAAAGGGTTGAAGGGGGAGAGAAAAAAACAACTAAAACAACAAAATCACATTCATCTCTCAGGGCTTGGTAAAGACAAATTTGGAAATGGGATTTATGAATAAAACATCGAGCATAATGAAGAGCAGGAGGTTACGTTGGAGCAAAGCACTTCAATATTTATGAAACGAGTCCCAGACGGCTTGTTCGCTAATATGGCAACGTTAGAGGAAAAACACGCAGTAATGTGCTTCATTTAATATGTTTAATGCTCTTAGTCACACAAAGTCTGGTGTCAAGGAAGATAAAAATATGAGTAGTTATTTTCATACATGCTTGGTCTGGCATAACACATTAAAACAGCCTTGCTTACTGTATTGTAAGCAGCTTCCACTGCTAAACACTGTGAAGCTCTGGAGATGAATGTTTAACACAGGCATGGTTCCAGGTATGGATATAATTTCTGACTGTGATTGTTTAAAGATCATGTGACTTTGGCTTCAAAAGAACTGACAAGCAGCCTCAAGGACATCTGACTGATCTGATGTGTTGCGGATCTGATTTGAGTGGACGAGCGGGCGAGTATCAGCGGTCAGACTGATTCAGTGTGTTTCTCTCACAGATGGCCAGCTGGCTGTGTCATGACGAGCTCTGAGGACATCATGCTTCAGTGAAGAAGAAGGTGTAGAGACAGAGAAACAAGACTCTCCAGCACACAATAACAGCTCAAGACCTGAATCCATCAGTCCAGACTAAATGTGTATCTCTGATTGCATTACCGTCTACTCCCACACAATCTTTATTTGTCATGTGACACTTGTAGATTGAAATGTTTGTATTAATGCATGTATATTCTACAGCAGTGCGATACAAAACCAGAATATAAAACATCATTCACTAACCCTCATGTCACTCAAAGCACAAATTAAGATATTTTTGATATTGCCATAATTCTGTACCTCCATTAAAAGTCATTGTGCGATCAAAACTTTAATGCAAATCTAAAACCCAGTACAAAAGGACATCGTAAGAGTAATTCATATGAATGGAGTGGTTTTATCCAAGTCTTCTGAAGAATCGCTTCAATTTAGGCCAAGATTCAAGTATGAACTTTGAACTGCGCACATACAAACCTGTGAATAGCTTATCAGTACATTCAGAAATCTGTCTATTGTATATGAAGACCGGTGGCACGATGAGGCCATCAGAGAGGATCAGCGATTCACTCGCACAGTTACACCGACTGCTAATGAACACGTCAGGTCTGCTTTGACTAGTCATGGATGATGGCATTGTTTGAGCTTGTTCTGTTAGCGACACTGTTGTACTGTTTTGTACAGCAACTTGTAACAGCAAGATTGATTAGGATTTGCATGACAGTGAGAACTGATGTGCTCAACACACGTCAAAGCAAAAGAGAAGAACAACGAGAGTTCATAAAAAAAAAAAAAACTCTCTAGTGATACATCAACTGTGAAATAACATTGTTTTTTTATTTCATTAGCCTATTATTACTCGGTTACCTACTGCTTACATGTATAAAATGCTGTATATTATAATGCATATGTGCCCATTCACACAGTCTTACGTATGTTATAAAGCTGTAGTCAGCAATAAGAGTCTATTTAGGTCTGGGCGATATGGCCAAAAATATTATAACAGTATTTTAATCAAATCAAAATATAACAATTCATTTACAACAAAACATTGCATTTTTATTTTGTCAAATAAGATGCTGCACAACAGAGCTTTATAGATTAAAACATGGTTAAAACAAATACCTTGGTTGTATGATTGTTATGCTGGGACACAGACGCGGTCAGGCGGATGCAAACGCAAGTAGTTATTTGACAAAACAAGAAAACAAACACGGATAAATAACACAGGAACACAGAGCAAGAGAAGGAGCTAAATATAAAAAATAAAAAGTGTCTGTGTGTTTGACGGCAGTTTTGTGTGAAGCTGCTACGCTGCTACTCTGCGCACACACACACACACACACACACACACACACACACACACACATAAAAA